TATATATATATATATATATATATATATATATATATATATATATATTTGATTTCAGCTTTTTTATATATTGGGTGGGGTTGGTTTTACCCCACTGATCACACCAATTTATGAGTGTCCAATTTGATCCTCAATGTGAAAATATTCTTAAATATATCAAGAGACTTCAAATGCCTTTTCATTCATCAATGATACATCTGGAAACCTATGCCGAAAAAATAATCCTTTAGATTAGGCTGTTGTGTACAACCGGTACCTATAGAAATATTATTCATATGGAAATAATCTTTCTAATAAAGGAAATAGAGAAACAAATGATAACTCACTCACATTCTGGAAAACTTTAAAGAGATATTTTATGAAAGTAGCATAAACATAAAAATTTTCTTAAAAAACAATGAAAAAAGTAGGAACCATTTTTTTTTTTTTTATTGAGCCCAAGGTTGCTTAACCACTGAGCCACATCCCCAGCCCTTTTTATTTTTTATTTTGAGACAGGGTCTGCTTAGGTTGCTTGTAGCCTAGCTAAGTTACTGAGACTGGCTGAACCTGCGATCTTCCTGCCTCAGCCTCCCGAACCAGAAGCATTGGGATTACTGGTGTGCACTACCATGCCTGCCTTGGAACAAAATTTTAAAGACAATATTTAAATCTTTATCATAGAAAATATAGTGGTAATAAAGACACATGAATTTAACAGTTTGCATTTGGAAGGTTTTATTTTTATTTTTAATTTAATTATGCATTCATAATAATGTGGTAAAGGTAAACTTTTATTATTTTTAGAGATAATTAGAAAAAAATCTTTTAAATGTTCTATTGATACTACCAGATGATCTCTGACTATGATAATTGGACTTCACGATTTTTTTTTTTTTTTTTGGCTTTATGATGGTGTGAAGTGCATTCAGTAGAAATCATACTTGGAATTTTGATCTCTTCCTAAGGCAGCAATGTGTGGTACCATGTCCTCTCTTGATGCTGGGCAGGAACAGCAAGCCGCAGCCCTAGTCAGCCATGTGACTGAGAGGGTGATCACCTCCCCACAGAGAGGTACTCCATAGTGTACTATGTTGTTCAACAATGACATTTGGTAGGTTAGGTGTATCAAATGCAGTTTTGGGACTTGAAATATTTTCAAGCTACAGAGAGGTACTCCATAGTGTACTATGTTGTTCAACAATGACATTTGGTAGGTTAGGTGTATCAAATGCAGTTTTGGGACTTAAAATATTTTCAAGCTACAATGAAGCTATCAAGATCCAACTCCACTGTAAATCAAGGAGCGAATATAGTAATTTTTTAAAACAACCAAAAAACCTAGAATCAATCCTGGATTATAAGAATAGGTAAGCATTTTATAATTCCATCAGTTTCAAGGCCTTTATATAAATCAGCAAGTCAGAGTTTAAAGGATACAAGTGGACATTAATAAACCAGCTAAGAACCTACTTATATTTTCAAGTATAGATGTCTGTGTCAAGGGTTTTTGGAGGGGGAGGTCTGTGGTGTTTGGAAATGTGGCCCCTTCTGGTGTTTCCAGGCACAAGGAGCCATTTGCTCTCTTCTATCCTGTGACCTAGAAAGAACAGAGCAGTGGGGACAGTGTTTATCCTGACCCAGGCTGCCAGGCCTCTTCTGTCCTGTCCTGTCTCTGGGGCTCATCCAGTGCCTTCTTCTGGTCTCTCAGCTCCAGTGACATGGGACCTCTGATTGTTGCCACTCGATGCTCCTTTATGCGAGGGCTGGTGCATTTTCCTGTTCCTTCTGCCTGATTGCCCTGTCTTCAGGTTTTCACATGACAGCCTTTTTCTTATAGTTCAGCTTCATCTCCAATGTTGCTTCCTCTAAGAGGCCTTCCTGGACTGCACCCATGGTCCCTTTAACTCTATCATCCTGGTTAACTTTTTTCCAAAATCACTGATCACTTTCTGAAATAATCTTCTGCATTTATTAATTGGCTTATCTCCTCCCAATTCCTTCCCACCTCCTCTGTCACCCCCATATAAACCCTGTAAGAGCAGAGACTTGACTTTTGCTCACTCCTATTTCAGTATCACATGTCACATGGTAGGCATTCAATAAATAAAATTCAGTTGTCCATTTTCATTTATGATTTTATAAAGTGATGAGGTTGTTATGTATTTTTATAAACTATAAAGTGAGATCATTAATTCTTCCTAGTCTCTAAGATCCATATTGAACAGATCATTCTCACCTCCTAAAGAGTGATGACTGTGCCCCAGAACTGATGACTGGGGCCTGCAGCAGAAGGTGCTAAGTGCTGGGTGACAAGCTGTGGATGAGTCTTCATGCTTCTTGGTTTAACGTCTTGCTAAGAGTGTGTCATAACAGAGACTGGGGAGGCCTCAGTTTATTTGGAAAGGCAGAAGTAAGGAATCAGTAAAAGTCCCCAATATTTGAAGTCCACCTCATTCTTTCCTGATACCCCAGTAGACCCCTAGCTGACCCTTTACTGGCGAGGCTAGCAAGGATGTCTTCACCAGAACTTTCTGACCTTATTTCTACATAAATGGGACCAGCTAATTATTATTATTAGTTTTTAAAAGGGGCTGATGGCCAATATTTTTGATTTTGCAGGCTGAACTCTGCCACTGTGGTAAGGAAGCAGTCATAATAGACAAGATGTAAACTAATGGCCTGTCCAGGTTTGACTCATGGACTGTAGTTTGCCTGAACCCTGGACTAGAATGAGGGCTTCACACCACCTTATGTCTGTTCTGGCCTCAGGATGGCCCTCCTTCTGGAGGTCACAAACCTCTAGTTTCTGAATCAGTGGCATGAATCTGGGTGGGGGAAATTACATATGAGAAGAAGGGACTCAAAGCTAGGTGCCAACAATAAAATACAATTTCCAATAGATCCCACTACTCTGAGTTACTTTGAATTTAGTTCATCTATAAGTGGGCTTTAGTTAAAGAAAGTTGAATTCAATAGGCCTGTAATAGGCATCTCTTATTGAATTGAGTTTCCTTGTTCATATGCAAGCCTAATACTGAAAAATTTTAATGACTGATGTGGAATGAAAACCGATTAGGATGGATGAATTGTAAAAACAACTGTTGGGGACAAGCCAGTGTGCAAGGTGAAAATCAGCTTTACAGTGTGCAGGCCTGTGGTCCACTGTTATATCTGAGGAAGCAATAAAGCAACCTGAGGGAAGAGTTGTAATTGCACACATGCTATATAGTTTGGGCAGGCTCTGGAGAGAGAGGCCCATGGAGAACATATCTGCACACTTTCCACCAATGCTGGGATTCCATTATTAGAAATTCATCTCTATTGGTCAAGGATCACCATTTCATTTTTAGTGCACAAATATTCAAAATAATTTTGAGTCATGTTGCCTTTAAAAAAATTCCCATATGAATTATTTGTATTAGATTCTTTTTCAAACAGTCAGATGGGAGAGATCTTAAAAGAGGGAGACATGGAAAGAGTGAGTAAATGAGGGTTGTGGGGGAATACACTTTAGAGAGGAAAGGTCCTCAAAAAAGAAGAGGGTTTGCATATAGGAAAAACTTGGTTCATTTCAATTTGATCAAGGACCTTGAATTAAGAGCCATTTTTTCAAAATATGAAATCTTTTTGTTGTGACTATTAGAATCCTAGTAGTAAATTCACAGTCTGTCTTAGTGTGAGAGTGTTATATTTCAGCTTTTATATTTCTGCCCTTATTTTTCATCCATTATTCCTCAAATACTATTTAATCTTTGTGTTTTGTATTTTTTTTGCAAACCACCTACAATTCTGTTTAAAGCAAGATACCTAGATATTTTATTCAGTTATTTATTCAGTCATGCAACACATGCAGTTAATATGCACTGACATCAATCTTAAATGATACCATTGATTAGACTTCAGTGGATTTATAAAATGATTTAAAAGGAATCATAGATTTTTACTTATTTTCTTATTTCATGCTTGTAGGTTTTTCTGGGCCACAAGGAGAAAGAGGAAATTGGGCAAAGATTCACAAACCTGTGCAAGGTGGTAGTTGTTCCTCCAGGTCCTGGGGGTGGCTGCAAATAGGGAGGGGGCTGCAGTGGAAAACTTCAAAGCTGTGATGAGGAGGACAGCTAGGCCAGATGCAGGGAGCACCTTCATCTCCTCTTGGAAGCTGGGTAATTATATCAGCCCAGGGGATGGCAGCCAGTGCACATTTGCACTTCGACCCTGAGCTCCTTTTATAGAGTCCAACAGGTCTGGGCCCTGCAAGCAAGGATGATTCATGTCTCAAATGGTAATTATACAGCTTGCCTCTCTCCCTGATGACGGGGTAACACAACCGTTCATAGGAATCAGGGGAAGCTTCGTTTTTTGCCAGCTACTGTCCCCAAAGGAAAGAAACAGTCACTTTTATTGAAGTTTGTTAGCTACTTACACAAATTGGGATAAACTTGATTGATTGACTCCAATTCAACCAAAAATTTGATATGCCTCAGTTTGGGGACATTTTACCATTCTGATTACAGAAAAGGTAAATGATTAAATATAATTGAATTAGAATATAATTGAATAATCCCAAACTCCCCCCCACATTCAACTCATCACCTGTATCTTCTGCATCCACTTTGACATTTCTCAGGAATGAATGCTGATGATAATGATGGTTCTGAGACTCATAAGATTCTGAATCATCAAGGCAACATTACATTATACTGTGCTGACTTAGGGTGGAAAGTGAACTGGTAACAGAAAGCTTTTGAATGAGTTAACACAATAGTTAGCAACTTAGTTAGCCAGAACAGTAGGCAGAACTCCCCATTCTCTTTGCGCTCTAGTTAATTGGGATCATATTCTTTTTCCTGGCTTTGAGTAAGATGAATTTTGATCTAAGGATAGCATGGGAAGGGGAGGTACTAGGGAAATAAAACTGACCAGATTATGTTATGTGCATGTACAATATGTAACTATGAATCCCACTAATATGTAAAATCATAATGTACCAATTTAAAAAAATGATAACAGAGAAATGGTGTTGTAAGGTGGGAAAAGCACTTCAAAGTCAGAAAAATTGAGATTAAATTTTTAAGATATCTCCTAGCCATGTGAAGTTGGGCAAGCTATTTGATCTCTGTGAACATCAGTTCACAATTTTTTTTTTTTAAATCTGAAAATAATACTACCATGTGTAAACTCCTTAGTGTTACAAGGGTAGCACAGCATATCACATGGTATCTGCTAGTACCTCTTGGCATCCATCCTTCCTGGGTTCTGAGAAAACAGCTGATGACAATGAGGAAATCACTCTCGTCCAATCCAGATGAAATTCAGAGCTGAGAAAGTATAAACTCATGTTTTTCTTGTCTAAAATAAGAGCTGACTTTGAGGGCTGTGGATATAGCTCAGTGGTAGAGGGATTGCCTAGCATGCTTGAGGCCCTGGTTTTGAGTCCTAGAACTGCCCACCCCCATCACCCTGGCCCCAAAGAATGATCTCAGGGATTTTTAATAAAAAGCTCACCAGAAAGTCCTTTACTCTCTATGCTTTGTGTACCTTGCACATATGCACAGATTTCTATAACATAATTTAAGACTGCAACAATTCAGATAAGACGCTGTCCCAGGAGGGCCTCCACCAATGAGATGATGTCAAATCCTGCTTTGGGTCTCCAAGATCACTGCACTTTGTATCCAAGCAGCTTCATGAATTTCTCCCTTTTGCTAATAAAAGCTTCCTTTACCCTCTCCTCTTTGACTGCAGGGTGCACGTTGCCCCAGCATGTATCCTGGATTACAATCCTTTGCTCATTCCTGAATAAATTCTTATACTTGGATACATTTTTTTCCCTCTGGGGTTTCTTTTTAGCTTTGACCATTTAAATTCTATTTCTGACAGAACTGTGCATTTGACTTTTAGTTGGTTGATTAATCTCTTTCAGCTGTGTTATTTTTGACTTTAAAATAGGGGAAAATGCCTATTTTGTAGGATTGTCCTGAAGGAGTAAACAAAGCTCTTAGCAAAGTGCTTAGTAGACATTAGTTCTTGTCTATTTTTTATGTTGGCTTCAGGCAACTGGTTGACTTTGAATGAATTTCTTTGGATGGATCATCACTGGCCTAGATCAATGATTCTCAAAGCACAGTTCCTGGGCCAGCAGCATCACTGCCACCTGGGAACTTGTAGGAAATGCAAATTCTCAGGCTTTCCCAGGTTTATTGAATCACAAACTCTGGGTACAAGGTTCATGGGTCTGAGTCTTACCCAGGTAATTCTGATGCATGCTGAACTACTGAATTAGTTGAGTGAATAGAATTAAGGAATTCGAGTTTAAAAAAAAAGCCTAAAAAATTCCAAGAACACCTGGTCATAGAAAGTACTCAATACTGCCCTTGCCACCTGGGGCTGTGCTTTTCAATGGTGACACACCTAGTATTTGAAAGTCATTTTGTTGTGGTTGTTGTTGCAAATAACTTATTAAGTTAAGACCTGTTAAACCATAGAGTATGTAAATTATTTGCCTTCCACTTAGATGAGATTCAGGGTTACTCCTTTTGTGAGCTTTCTCCTCTTCTGTTGCCATCTGCTATACTTTCCTGCATAGAAGAGAGTGATGAAGTTATAGCTTGGTCTGAGAGGAACTAGTGAATAACCCTAGGTACTCAGCAAGTCTACTCTCATGTGTATCTAAAAAGAACAAATAAAATAAAAGAGTCTGTGACTCATGCAAACCTCATATCTGTCATGTACTGTGAGATGTACAAAACATGTGTCTCAGAAGGAAAAAAAAGAAAATCACAGATTAGATTCATTCAGCTAACTAAATGATAAGCTCCTTGAAGATTATATGATAGAAAAAGGTCAGTTAATCAATTTTGCTTAATGAATGAATGTACAAACATATACTTACTATTATTTTTTGATTCTCAGGATAGGAAAGGAATATTATATTAATGATCTTCCAAAATTTGTGTGCTTTCTTATCCTCTACCGCCCTATTACTAAACCTTTATAGCAGCTGCCAAAATTGAGCAAGGACTGAGTCCTTAACACTTCCCTTCAATTATTCATCTCATTTCCTTGTTTTCTCCCCCAAAATATTGTTCCAATTTATCCTGTTGGCCCTGTTGGAAAAGCATACAGGCCAGTGTTAGAGTGGGAGGGATCATGGTATGAAATTCTGAGGCCAACAAAGAGAAACTATTTTCACCTCTAGGACTCTAATGAGTACAATAAATTCCACTTTTGGAAGTAGATTGAAGGAAAAAAGGGTGTGATCTGGAAGCTTCCAATATTCTCATGTACAACATTTCAATTGCTAAGCATGAATAACCTGAACAGAAATAAACATTTACGTTCTTAAAAGTTATTCACATTTAGCACATTGAATTTCACTCAGAGTTGCTGGTGGGCAATACCTTGACAGAGAGAGAATGACAGCCTTAATATTGATAATTTATTACCAGGCTTTCTCTCTTCCTAATTTTTCTGTCTTCACAGGGGAACAAAAGTCTGATTTTTATCATCCTTGTATCAAATCTAAATTTAAATCCAGATTATTCAAATCTAAAAAGATATATCAAAGCAAGTCAATGACTAAAAAGGGTAAAATGTGAGACTCTACTAGAGAAATGTGGAAAGTGAAGTATGTATAGTATAATTAGACAATAAAAATATTATATATGAGGCAGGAGGTTGGAAGCCTTTAGTCAAGAACAATATTTGGGGATCCAGAAGACTCTTAGAAAAAGGGCTTTAAACTACAGAATCAGGCTTACTACAGAGAATTGTTCCTTGCTAGATCCCAGCTTAATTCAGTTCCATTGATTTTTAAATTTTTTTTTGGTAGGTGGACACAATACCTTTATTTTATTTGTTTATTTTTATGCGGTGCTGAGGATCGAACCCAGGACCTCAAGTGTGCTAGGCAAGCAAGCACTCTACTGCTGGCCACAACCCCAGCCTCTCCATTGATGTTTTAATAGATCAAAAACATTTAGATTTCTGAGATTGTCCCTGCCTTTCATGGAATGGGTGGATAAATAATTGTTGGGTAAATGACTAGTTGCCTTTTTGTCTTTTTCAAGTAAAGAGCACAGGTTTCATATTTAGGCAACCTAGACAAAAACACTGATTTGGTCACTTTATAGATGTGTTACCATTCAGTGTTCTTAAATTTCAAGCTACAGAAACCATCTTTGATTAATTTCTTCCCCCTCTCCCTCTCCTTTTCCCTCCCCCTCTCCCTCTCCCTCTCCTTTTCCCTCCCCCTCTCCCTCTCCCTCTCCCTCTCAGGTTGGCAGACAGTTTAGAGAATTTCCAGGAAGCCTGGAGATCTAGGCTGGGAGAACCAGCAGGAATGAGAAGAGACCAAAGCCAAGGTGTGGTCTGCTGGTGAGACTCTTGACTCTTACCACTGGACAATATTATAGCTGGACAGTCAGGATGCTGCTGCTGGGCTCTTGTTTCTGGTTGTCTTTGTCTCATCCACTCAGCATCCATGGTGCTAGGTGTGAGAGTCTGTTGGGTAGGCCTGGGTTGTCTGCACTTGCCCTGATGTCCAGACACAAGAAGTAGAAGGACCTCCCTTCAGTTTGGTCTTCCTACTGGGAGGCAGGATACCTTCCATGGAAACCACCATTAACATAGAATGAGAAGTGTCATGTAGAGAAGGACAGATCAAAACCAATTAAGACCATGTCCAGAAAAGGATCTGTGACCTTCCTAAATGTCTATTTCCTGCTCTGCAAAATGGAGGATAATCATATCTATATATGAGAGAATTAAAATGGCTAATGGATTTTTAGTGCGAAACTCAGTTCATATATGGGAGATTTCAAAATTTTTGTTGCCATAATTTGCAAAAATTTCAGAAATAACATGGTGGATTAATAAAAATTAATATATTGCATTTTCCTATTTTTTTAAGTACTGAGAATCGAACCCAGGGTTTATCCCATGCTAAGGAAGTACTTTACTACTCAAGTACATCTCCAGCCCAACATTTTCTTTCTTCTAAGTCAACATTGATAATCAAATTGGCCATGGATTAAATAAGGTTTGGGAAAAATAAAGCATTAGGTTATTAAATGTATATGTTAACACAATATATATTCTTTTTGTATTTGTTATTTTTCATAATGTGGAGAATGTTAGCTCCACAT